GGCCTCCAGCTCTTGCGTCAGCGCCACCTTCTGGCGGATGGTGCGAAGCAGCTCCCGGGACAGAGAGTCGCGCTCCAGGGAGACACGGCCGAGCTCCAGGGACACTTCTAGGGCTCTGCGAGCAGGACGGGAGAGAGCAGGCCCGAGGGCGCTGGGGCGGCGAGCGCGTGGGGAGGTGGGGAGGCCCTGGGCCCGGAGCCAGGGAGGTCAGAGCCCTTGGAGGAGGGTAGACGACCTGTACCGCGGAGGGGGCGCCCCGCAGGCCCCAGTGCCACGAGGGTCTGGGCCCCTGGGGCCCTGGTGAGTGGCAGAGGAGGCTCACTTGTTCACTGCCTGGTCCCGGTCTGAGAGGGCGCCGCTTAGGGCCGCCTCAGGATCCTCCTGAGCCCACAGCTCCTTCTGCCGCTGCAGCTCCTCCCGCAGGAACTCCAGCTCTGCGCGCTGCAGCGCGATCTGCAGCACGGAGGGGCCGGGTGGGTAGGCCCGCCCTGGGTGCCCGCCTCGGCAGCCTGGGCTGCAGCCGCCCTGCCTTCCTGACGCCAGGCCAGGCGGCAGAGGCCCAGGGCCCGCAGCCGTAGATCTGAGGTCCGCACGAGGAGCCAGTGAAGGGCCAGGCCAGGCTCCAGGCGACCCCCAGATTCAGATGTTCTCACAAGCTCGGCCCACAGCGAGGGGGCTGGGTGGGGTGGGGCGGGACTAGTTAGGGGTCCCCAGTCTGCGGAAGGATGCTGAGGGGAGCCCTGTCTTCCCCGGAGGTAGTGAACAGTCTGGCTTTTGAAGCACAGCTGTAGGCTTGCTGGGGTGAAGGGTGGGCCAGGCAGAGGGGCTGGCTGGGCAGTGGCTATGCAGGAGACTGGCCCTGGGGCACTGGCACTGCCCCAGCCTACCTGGTCCTGCAGTTGGGCCACTTCCGCTTCCTTCTCCAGCACGTCCACCGGGCTCAGCGATGTCCGCTTTGTGGGAGGCTCCAAGCTCCCTTCCTGGGGCAAGGCCTGGTGGTTGGCCACCTCTAGCGTCTCCAGGGACAGAGTGTTCTGCTGGCCAAAGGGATAGGTCAGCGAGGTGGGGAGAGGGAAGAGCCCAGTCGACAGCCCCCGGGCACAAGGGGTGGAGCTGGTAGGCTGCCAACTCACCGGCCTCTCCGGCGTGTGTCTGGGTCCTTCTGCTTCCTGGTCTTGGTCCTGGTCGCTGTCGAGGCCATGGGCAAGCTCCGACTGCAGTGAGGCTCCGGACACGTCGGCTTCTTGGAGGCGAGACTCCTCCTCCAGCTCCGAGACCCGCCGCTGCAGCCTCCACAGCGCGCCCAGCGCCTCCCCCGCCTCGGCGCGCGCCCGCTCCAGCTGCGGACAGACAGGCCGCGGGCGGTCAGCCCGGGCGTGCGCCACCCGCCCAGGCCCACTGGGGGCGCCTCGCGCTTCGAGGCCGCAGCCCTAGCGGCCCGCACCTGGATCGCAGGGCAGCCTCCGCCCCCCGCAGCTCCCCTCAGCGACACCCACTTCCTCACCTATGAAACCTGGCGGCCTGCCGGCCTCAGCGTCTGGGCTCCCTCCACCCCTGCCCTCGGGCCACCTCCCCTGCTCCGTGCGCAGTCCCCCACCGGCAGCACCCCAGCCCACGCCTCCACAGGAGCCTGCCGCAGCCCAGGGTCACCTCCAGGCTGTGCTCGCGCCGCTCGCGCCGCAGCAGCAGCAGCTCCTCGTGGGTGGCCTGGAGCCTGGCCTGGCTCTTCTCCGCCTCCTCGCGCAGACCGCGGATCTGCGCCTCCAGGTCCTGGCGGCGGCTCTGCAGCATCTGGTTCTGGGGAGAGGTCTCAGCTGCAGGGCGAGGGGCCAGCCCCCCCCCCAGCAGCCCCCAGGTCAGCAGCACTCACCTCCCCCTGCAGACTCTCCAGCCTTGTCCTCAGCTCCGCCCCGGCCATGGCCTGAGCCTGGCACTGGCCCCGAAGGCCATCCAGCTCCCTCTGCAGCTCCTGCTCAGTCTGGGAGGCCTGGGGTAGTGCAGCGGTGGAGCCCTCAGCCGCCCGGCCTCAACACCCGCCCAGCGCGCCACGCCGGCCCCGTCTGCCCGGCCCCGGGGCTGGCGCTGGCCCACCTGTGCCAGCTGCTGGCTGAGCCGGAGGTTCTGCTCGCTGAGCTCCCCCAGGGCCCGCGCCCGCTCGCGCCCGCTGTCCTGCTGCTCCGAGCGCTGCTCGCCCAGCTGGGCCCTCAGCGCCTCCACGTCGCCCTCCAGCTCCACAGCTCGGGCCTCCCACTCGGCCCCCCGCGCCGCCAGGCCCCGGCGGAGCTCATGGTTCTCCTGCTGCAGTCGCTGCGAGGACAGGGCAGGGGGCAGAGAGGAGGGAAAGATGGGCCTGGAGCCCACCGGGGACACCGAGGCCCCAAGAGGCCCCTGGGGTTGAGGACGCTGGCAGGACGGGCGCCCAGGGGCCGGGAGGGGCAGGAGCAGAAGGCGCCAGCCCGGGCAGAGGGCCGCCGGGACGCGGGTGGGGTCCCGGTGCCCACTCACCTCCGGCTGCCCCCTGAGTTTCTGGACCCGGGGTCGCAGGCGGCGTTTCTGGCGCCTGAGTCTGGTGGAATCGAAGCCCCGGCCCATGGCCTCACGCCGCTGCAGGTCCGAGCGCCAGCCTCTGCGGCCTCGCGGGTCTGCTCGGCCCTCTCCCAGCGCCTCTGGCCAGCTCCTAATTAACCCTCTTGAGCCCCACCCTGGCTGGTGCCTCTGCCTGCCTCCCCCAAACCTGTCCAACCAGCGGGGGGACGCCGTGGGCACACCCAGATGCCCAGCAAGTCAGGGGCCAGCCTCTGACCCCCACTGTCTCGAGACTCCCAAGCAGGAAGGTGATGCCAGCCACAGCGGCCGCAATTAACAGCTGCCGCGGGGCACCGGCTGGAGCTGCCCCTGCGTGCTGTGCCCCTCCCACTAGCTCGGCAGCCACGCGGCACGCGAGCGCTGAGCCCGAGGACACAGGGCGAGTCAGCGGGGAGGGCCTCCAGCCCGGCACCAGAGCTCAGGCTCCAGGGGGCGTGTGGGGGGCAGGCCGGGTCGGCTCTGCTGTGGCTTCGTGCTCCAGCAGGTTCCAACTGCCGCCAAGCCCCTCCCGCCACCCATCCCTCCACCTACCCACCAGTTAGTGCGAGCTCCCCCTGCTCGGGGCTGGACCACCAAGCTCCCTGCCCCGAGCGGCTCAGCGTCCAGAAGCCCACAGGCAGATGGACACAGGTTTGAGCCAGATCGTTTACAGGAACAGTAAGGGCTATAAAGAACCCTCCTGGGAAGTCTCTGCAGGGGACTGGGGCTCAGGTCCCCCTGAGAAAAGAAACCCTGGACAGTGATGAGGTGTGCCCTGGGGCTGGGGGGCACTTGGCGGTGTAAGCAACCTCTGATTTGACTCCTGCAGGGCAAGAAGGAAGAAGAGCCACCCGGAGGCAGCAGGTGCGAAGGCCCTGGGGCACGGCACGGAGAGCAGCCGCCTGGGGGAGGGGCCGTGGCAGGCGAGGTGGGGCACTGGCATTTCGGGGCCTGGGTGAGGAGCTTCTGTTTCATTCTGAGTGTGACAGGAGCCACTGGGAGATTCTGGGCGAGAGCAAGTGCTTTGATTTGTAGTTTTGGGGCAACGCTCTGGCGGCCCCGGGAAAGGGCAGCTGAGGATGAAAAGGAGGAGGAATGGGTATCAAGAAGGGCCAGCGGGCTGGCCAGGGGGAGGAGCGCAGCCACGGAGTGGGAAGCCAGGCTGGGGGAGCAGAGCGGCCAGGGACCCCGGGGCCGCTGCTGCCCTGGACCTTCGAAGGTCAGGTAGGCGGCATGGGCGTAGGCCAGTGATGTCGGGAAAAAGTCTGGTGTCCATGCATGGAGGGGCCGGAGGCAGTGGGGCCGGCCTCAGGGCCTGGGCAGGGGCAGCACTGTCCCAGCCTGGCCGCGCTGGGCAAGCACCAGCAGCGGCTGCATGGGGACCCAGAGCCAGGCGGCGGGGCGTGAGGAGCCGAACCCCAGAGGCGGAGGGGCCGGCGCCTGCCCCGCCACACAGCCAGGCAGGAGTCCGTGCCCAGCCCCGACCCCAGAGGCGCCCAGGCACTGCCCTCTGCCAGGCCCGCCTGGCCCCCCACCCCCGCCGCCCGCAGCTCACTTCCTCCCGCTCCGCGTGCTGGGCGCTCAGCGTCTCCAGCCGCAGCTGCAGCTCCTCGTTGCGCTCCAGCAGCATCTTGCCAAGCTCCGCGGCCAGCAGCAGGTCTTTCTCCTTCTGCTGCAGCTGTCGCGCCAGGTCCTCAGGCTCCTCGGGGCCGGGGCCCCCTCCCAGGAGCGAGTCTCTCCGCTCCAGCACGAAGGGGAAAAAGCCCTCGCTGCCGCTGGGGGAGGCGCCCCCCGAGAGCAGCCCCGAGGGGAAGCCTGGCCCTTCTGGGGAGCTCATGGTGCCACCGCATCTGTGGGAACAGGTGGGTGTGTGGGGACAGGTCCCCTGCAGCCGCCGGCGGCCCTTCCCGCCCTGTGGCTGGCGCCCTTGCTGTGGGGCCCGCAGGGTTAATGACCTGTGTCCTGGCTACCCCACTCCGTTAGTGTCCCCAGGGTAAACTGAGGCAGGGAGCAGCAGGAAATGAGCGGCCCTGCCTTTGGCCTCTGGCAGACATTCTCTGCCCCAGGAAAGCCCTGGCCGGTGCCCAGCGCCTGGACCCAGGCCTCCCGCAGCAACCTCTGCCCTTTCCCAGAGCCCAGCCCTGGCTCCTAGCCCCTGACCAGCCGGGCACTTCCCAGAAGCCAGGCCAAGTCCAGTGCCCCTTCCTTCCAGGAACCCAGGCGTGGAAACTTGGGTGTCCTTACCCCTCTGGCCCCAAGAACTCAGCCCCCTTCTTCCTGAAGCCCTGAGCCCCAGCCCCCTCCAGCTATCCTGGCTGGCTCCTAGGTTCTCAGGGTCCAGGCCCTTAGCTTTCCACTTGGGGAACGTTGGCTCCAGTCCCCCAGTTTCCCACGGCCAGTGTCAGGCAGGGCAGGACCGGGGCGAGGCAACAGGTTGTGCCAGCGACAGGCTCTGGGTTTCTGTTTACTTCCCGGCCCGCCCCTGGGGATGGGAGCCTGGTGGCGCTCCCGGGGGCACCCTGCCCACAGCTCTGGGGTTCTGGAGTCCTGGGCCGGCAGAACTTCCCTGGCGGGGTCCCCATCCTCTCCAGCCCTTCTGAGGTTGCCCCACTCTGGGCCGGCTGCCGGGCGCCCGCGCGC